GGGGGGGGGGGGGGGGGGGGGGGGGGGGGGGGGGGGAAGTAGGAAAGGATGACAACAACAAAATCACAGTCCATGGAATTAAAAGCTTGAGTCGCGTTCCACGAGTAGTAAATAGTTATGGTTACTTAACAGCTCTCAGCTGTTTAGCCCGCAACGTTACAAGAGGTGAAGATACTCCGTCTGTTTTTCGCGCCCTAGAAAATGAGTCACTCGCGGCTTGACTTTCAGTAGCGTGACATAAGCGTGACGCCGCGTCAAACAAAGCGTATTTTATTTGTTTGGTTTAAAAAAATAGCGTCTCTGGATGTCTCGCATTTGAGAACTTTAGCAGCTTAGAGCACTCATAAATGCGAAAAATTGGTCATCTGTATGAGCAAGTTGTTTATTTAATTTCTGCAACGCAGGAACGAAGACGACAATCGAGCCGTTGTTGTGTTGAGCCTGGTGTACGATCCATTGGAAATAAAACAAGACCGCAGCATGTGCGTAATGCTCCATTACTAAGACGTATGGAAAAAGGATGGTAAACTTCAATGTTGCAAGTGCTGATCGCTGAGTATTTTCCAGTGAAAGGGGAATTTCACACGCTACACATAATCTCTCACAGACGCTTTACTACAACATTACACCCGCAGATTATGAAATAATTATAATTCAAAATGCCAACAGAATTCGTACCTAGGAGCTTAAAGCCTTCGTTGTTGTGTAGAAAACTAAAATGGCCTTATTATGTCTTTTGTATGACCCCAAAATTCACAAATACTCTCGTGAGATTCAAACAGTGACATTATTTTACAGTCGTGAATATTACTACTTACGGGTGTGTAATCCTTCCATAATCAGACCAAAGATAAATACCGAGGTCAAAGCCTTCCAGAGCGTCATGTTGCTAGGATGCTTGGGGAAGGCCAAGCGATATGATCAGGGTATTTCACAAAGCATTCCTCATTCACGGCTGAACTCAAACTGGAACCACAGATTGAGACCGTGAGAGCAGAAGAGCTGTCTTTGTGACGACACATGACACCGTGACTGGCCTTATTCCGACACCTCAGGTAATCGGTTTCAAATTTCCTAATTCGTCTGGTAATGTTTCGGTTTCGTGGGCGCGTGGCGCGATAATCGTGATTGGCACGATGCCGGATGACAGGCGTGCGTGATGACGCGAGTCTTCGCACGCTAAATCACAGAAGAGTGGAACCGAATTTTACCAAATAGAAGATGGCGTTCAATTTTTTTTCTAAGAAAATTGTAATAATGCACGCTTGTGTACGCACGGGACGAACGCGAGTGCACTTAGCAGTTTTTCTACACCTTAATAGTGTATTATTTTCTTAGAAAACATGGGAACGGCATCTTGTATTTAGTTAAGACAGTTTAGACTATAGCATGAAAAATTAAATATATTTACATCTGAGATGGGGTGGTGAATGCACTGGCATCACCACATCCGGGACGTATCATACGTGATCTATAATTTCCAGCCGTTCATCTATTTAACAATTACATTATGAGATCGAGAATGCTAACGCGTGAATATAACGCGTGAATCACGCGTAGAAATCGAAAGGGAATAGTCTAATTGTTTCGGTATAAATTTTCTTGTCACAGACACTTCGAAGACGCAAAGAAGCGGCCGCAATTTTGTAGCTATTCTGTTAACAACCGCACACTGCTAAGACTACTCATCATCTACTAAACAATTAGATTACGAGGTCGAGATTTCTATCGCGTGATAGTTAACAAGGGCGCAGCCCGAGTCAACCATCACGCATAGAAATCGAGAGCGAATAATGTAATGGTTTTAGTCAGTATAAATTTACTAGTCGTTCAAAACGTTATCTAACTTTTCTTCACAGACACTTCGAAAGCGCCAAGAACCGGCCGTCATTTTGTTAACAAGGGCACACTGCTACGCTACTCACTATCTATCACAGAATAGATAGTGAGTAACGTAGCCATTCAGAGAACGGCATTCGTGATAGAATGCTAGTAGATTTATACCAAAACAGAATAAATAGTGAGTAGCGTAGCCAATGAAAGAACGGCATTCGTGAAAGTACGCTTGCAGATTTATACTAAAAAAATAATGCGTGCTCAGCTCCAATAGCGGGTGTATAGCAGAGTTTATTTTAATTCGCTTTGTTCTTCTTGTGCTTGGGTAAACTACAAGGGACAGGTTTGGTGACAATAAAATGACCTCATTAAATTTCTAAACCTCTCATCCAAAATCGCCATCATGGGCTTTTTCAATTTTCTCCTTCAAAACTGGAAGAAAATCGCCGAAAATAGATTTTGAAAAGTCCATAAGCGATAATTTAAAACTGCTAAAACATTTCGGCCTTCGGCAGCTTAAAAAAATATCATAAGCAGCTAATAAATCTCTATTTTTAGAAAGATAACGATGTTTTTTTTATTGATTTTCTTTTTATAATTCTTAAGGCATGTCGCGATGTGACTGCCAGGGAAGCATACACGATTAACTATAATTCCACACAAAAAGAAGGCGTGAAAAAAAATAACATTACTGAAATTGACGTGATTGTTGATCCCAGTCAATAGTCTCCCGTGAGTGTGAGTTAGTGAGGCAGAATGAAGGATATCAAAACAATCTGTAGAAAAAGATTTGCGGCGAGGTCAATTTAGGAAGAGCAGCTTACAAAATAAGATTGCCATGTCACCTTGACATGCCATAGTGTTTCTCAAAATTTATTTTATAAACAAGTCTCAGTCGAAGTTTGAAATTAGTCGCTGTTATTTTGAATAGTTTTAATCGACAAGTGCGAAATCAGAAAACCATATCGTTTTGAATTATTCTGTGAGGTGACGAGTCAATCGCATGTCCGTCTTGACATGTGAATTATGATGTCAAATAAGTCAGATAACTCTTGCCGCGGTGGGTATTTTTTAATAATCAAGAGTTTTATCTTTCGAGAAACCTGACAAACAGCATCCGCTAAACAGCACCTTCTGCAAAGTATCTCTGGTCTGGATGTTTGTTGTTTTGAAAAGAGTTGTAGCAGATTTAGTTGTTGAGGATGCTTTGCTACAAATTGCTTGTTTTCTGTAGTGCGTTATTGTGGATGGAATCAAGAATTTGGGCTCAAGAAGGTGAGTTTTGGAAAGCATTTCTACCGTGGTTCTCTCATGAGCGACCGTGAGAGTTATACAGATCATACCCTCGAAGGTCAGAAATAGCATTTACTGAAAGAACACATGTGAACTATATTACGGCCAAGAACAGGAAATCGTCTTCAGCTGTGATCTGCCATATAAAATGGTTCGTAGTTTTCGTGCGTGAGTAGTCAGTTTTAGCCTATTTTTGTTTTGCTCATCAAGTCAATTCCTATCAGTATTTATTAGCAATACTGACACGCACTTTTGTTGTTGGAGGAACACGAAAATCACTGACATGCAACTATCACTCACAAGCTAAGAGCGAGTGTTCGCCCAACGTGGTCTAGTTTTCTTTACCTGCAGGGCTAGACAGAAATGCGTGGTCCATTGCTCTTATGAAATAATAATAGGACGTTTTTAACAACAATACACGTCAGTTAACAGTCTTCAGACATATCACACAGTTACTAGCTTAAATTTATATACTTTCGATTAGCTATTTTCAGTGGGATACCTCTAAGAAGCCATTTGGACTATGAGAGAGGGCAAACACTACTGGATGGGAGAAATTTATACTTTCTCCACGTTCTGGTTTTAGGAAATGCTCAGAAATTCGGAAAACAAACAAAGATTGTTTTATACATCAAACGTAGTTTTCATGCTTTGTTAGCTTTTGTTGTCAGGAAAATATAAAGCACCTTTATCTTCTTCGGTTTCTCAGTGGCAAGTCAATGTGAACTTTACTTTTCTCCTGACTCCTCTGGAATGCTAGCAGTAGATAGTTATCGCTTTTAACTTAACTGGAAAGAGCGGCCTATGGCCAAAGCTAAAGAAAAGATACAATCTGACTACATGCTGCTAAATGTTGTTGTCTGCGGATCTTCGAAGACCTGGTCGAAGATTAAGCACACGTCTATATAGTGTTTCCATGATTGCTGACATTGTGTTTGCATGATAAGAAAGATACAGTGAGGACATTTACAACGTGCTTCTTGGCGAGGTTAGGAACGCGCATGCTTACCCTATGTTAACAGGCGCATGATGCACTGTGGGAGTCGCGGCCAGTTTTGGTCATCGACGTCATCCTCCCAGTCGTTCTTTTACTTCTTTTGAAAAAAAAACAGTGCTATGCTACGAAACGAACAGATCTACATGAAGCTGGTCTATAGCACATTTTCAGTTGTCTTAGTTATTTCCAAATAACCTCTGAGTGTAACTGATCCCCACCCTTCTCGATAGACTGACAAGGAGGTTAAGAATAGAGTATACTNCTTTTCGAGTTAGTCGTTTGTAATCCACATCAATCTTCTCCGTCCTTAACCATTGTTGTTCCTTTATGGTTTATCAATGTCTCTTTGGTGTTTTTCTATCTTAGTGAACTACTATTTTAAGGTGTCCTTCAGTTTAACTTTGTATGTGGCTAAATACAAAATAACTCAAGGTACCGTGACTCAGCTCCTTTAAAATCCAGCCTTGTGTTCTGAATACTCAAGAAGCGTCTGCTTGACTTGACTATAAAGAGTGTCTATTTTGAGTATGACGGTATAGTTTTATCGTTTAAAAGAATTTTATTCCTCGGTGCTTATTTCAGTTTACTTATTTCTTTCTAACAGGGATCAAGAATTTTGAGGTGAGTGAAATAGTCACGACCTGTGTTGTTTATTGTTGTCTAATTTGATCGCGTGAAGTTATGATATGAAAGGCAACATATCAAAGCCAATAACACGCTGCTAATGACATGCGGGTTACTGGCCTTGACAAACACCATTCACGTCCATTTCTCAAAGAGAAATAGACGTGTCTATGGTGGTGGAACGAAAAATCAGGAAATGTTTATTCGTCTGTTTGTTTGGTTGTTCGTTAACTGATTTGCCGATTGGCTGATATGTTGGATAGTTGCTTGTTTGTTGTTTGTTTAAAAAATGAACGTGAAAGGAGACAGTGACAACTGCCAAGAAGAAGACGAAGTTGAAGAACTGCAGATTTTTTTTTCGGTGAGTAAATTTAATTTCCTTTGGCTGATAACTCAGCGTTTATCGTTCGTTTGTTTGTTTGTTTGTTTGTTTGTTTGTTTGTTTTTTCCCCTCAACAGCGTGATAGACTGAATACAGGAGTTCTCTTAATATCTTTTTCTTTGACCCTGCTCCCTAGGTTACACTATAAACGATTGCATGTTTTCCAGTGAAATGTTTAACCCCCCAGTTTATCATATCAACTCTGGCTTCAGATACACAAGATGGAAAATTTAGCGTTTTATGGGAATCGAAAAAAAAATGAAAACTTCAGCTTTTCGTTTTCATGTGGATGGAAAACATTTTGAAAACGGAGCTTTTCGAAAACGATGGCGACACGTTAATTGTGTGGTATTCCGGACCGAGTCCTCAAACACAAATCCAAAATGGCAGGTGATTGTTGCGTTTTTAAATTTCTCCGGCGTAGTATGGACGGAAAACGTTTGATGGGTTTTCAGAGTGAAACCCCCGTTTTCAAATTTCTCCGGCGTAGTACAGTGTGGACGGGACCTTAATCTTCAAAGAGCGAGGATATTGTGTATCGCTCAACATTGTTCTCCTCAAATATTAAAATAAATTCAATTTTCGATGTCGCATCATCTGCACTGCTCTTGCAAACTGTCCCCGCCACAACATGGAAATAAACCAATATCCGCTATGTGTGCACCAGATGTCAGCACTGTCCCTTCAACGTGCGTCCTATGCGTACACACGAAGGGGTTTCTCCCCGCTTCGCGTTTTCGTAACGCGTCTGCTCCCCCGGTGTGTACCGAGCTAAAAGAAGGAGACTGGCGGAGAGCTAGCCAAATGAGCCAGTTGGGGGGAGGCTAACGAGTGGCTCGGACGGTCTGTCGGAAGGAAACTCCTCTTTTTGGTCTCTTTAGTATTTAATATATTGCGGTATTGATATTTGATAGATATCCATCAAAATCTGACAACAGATGTTTTAATCTGAGCACGTTTCCTTTGTTTTGGCATTAATCTTGCGATTATAAGACAAATTTTTATTGGTCAATTGTAAAGTTTATGACCTGTCCGTCAAATTTGTTATGGCTCGGGATATATGATTGGGCAAGATATCACCATCATCTGTAGAGTGTTGAAGCTTTTGTTCCCTACTTAAGAAAGGAAACATAGCAGAAGTTCTGACCTCCTCTGGAACGAAGACAACATGCGCTTGTTTGCAGTTACAGTGTTTCTGTCGCTTTTAGGCGCATTGGTCTGCTCCGAGAGCGAATTCGAGGATGAATCACGTAAGTAAACGAAGATGACTAGAGCAGTAGTTTGCAAAATGATCTTATATGTGACCTTGTATACATAAGGATCATGCAAGACTTCTTTGTTACCTTGTATGCACTCGTTCCTATGTTCTGTTTTTCAGTTTAACCATAAATATATCGATTTTGCCTCTATACAATCATAGATTGCTTATGTTAAGCCAGGTTTATGTTTAAAAGTATGTATTTTGCGTTTTTGATAAATACATCGGCTGCGACAAAGCAACAAGTTCCAAGCCTCTTTATTGCCAGCCTGGCCGCCATATCAGTGAGAGATATAAGACGAC